GCAGGTCTCAAACTCGTGGTCTCAGGCAATCCACTCACCTCAGCCTCCCAAAGGCGCGGGATTACAGACTGAGCCACCGAGTCCGGCTAGTCTTTTAATTCTTAATATGATTTTTTTATATGGTAAGAATATTAGCTTTGCAATATTATAAATATTCCATTTTATTTTTATTTTATGTGGTTAATTCTACAAGTTTTTATTATTATTCCATTAATTTTGTGCTTAGAGAATCCTTCATCCTGTTATCAGATAACTACTTATTCTTATTTTCTCATTTTTTCCTTTTTGTCTGACTTTTAGCTGCTGGATCTTGCTCTGTCACCCAGGCTATGTGGTGATGCAATGATCATAACTCATTGTAACCTCAAACTCCTGGGCTTAAGCAATCCTCTCACCTCTGCCTCCTGAAATGCTGGGATTATAGGCATTAGCAACCACACCTGGCTTTCTGGTTTTTTAAAATTAGTTTTATGTTTTATATTTAACTAATACATCTAAAATTAATTTTGTTATGATGTGAGATGAAAGTAAACTGTATGATTTAATTCTTCTCCAGAGTTAAACAATTATTGTGGTACCATTTATTAAGTAGTCACTATTTTTCATATACTTTATCATACATTGTCATGAACAAGCTATCCTATATTAATTTTGTAAGTTCTAAAATAACCTGTTTCTTGCTTACTGATTTCATTGGTCTTTCTTTTAATTTGTATGTCTAATCACTATGAATTGTAAGCTATATATCTCAATTTCTTCAGGCAAAAGTTTTCTTGAATGCATTATTTAATATATTACATCAAAAATTTTCTGGATCAATAATATCTTAGCTCATCTCATTCATTTTTCCTGAGGAAATAGTGTACCATCCCACCTTTGGCTCACATTCTCTTAGCCCACCTAAATAGGACATTTTACGTCTGAAAGATAACAAATGACCTAATTCCAGTAAATGTTCCTTTCTTCTTGAAATGTTCTTTTTCCTTCACATCCTCGGAAATTATATTCTTGCTTCCTTTTGTATTTAAATAGTACTCCATCGCAATATCCTGTTCTGTCTCTTTTTCCTGTTGTGTGTGTGGTAGTACCCTAAGATTCTGCTTTTAACTTGCTTTGCAATTTTAACTGAATTCTTGTGCCGTACTTTGCTTTCTTGGTGTTAACAGTATCCTCTCTGTATGTGACTCCAGTAGTCACCTCTATATCTCTGGGATCCATAGTTGCAAAGCTGTTATCAAATGCTTGTTTAGATATCATGTCAAAATAAAACCCATTGTTCCTCTGTCCCATTCCCATTCTTTTCCTCTACAGCATCTACTCAGCCGACTATAGGAAAACTTCAACATTGTTGTTCTCTTCCTTGGCCCAAGTGGTATAAACTAGTTTCTTCTGGAATATTGATTCTCTTGAAATGTCTGTTACTACCACCCTAAGTGACATCCCTCATCCAGCTCAAATGTAATTTCTGATGTTACCAAACATATATGCTCTTTAAATGTTTTCTCTGCTTTATAATAATAACCATGTTTTTAGTAGAATAGTTTATATCTCTGGCTGTTGCAACCCGATAATGATGTCCTTATGAGTTGGTATCATTTCCTCTTGTGTCTGCATCTTTTCACAACAGCTAGTACTAATTATGTGATCAGTAACTTTTGGTTGCACTCTATGGAGTTACCTGACTGTAGTCTTGGATTTTTTTAGTTGATTCTCCAATTGCTGCCAATGTTGTCGTTTAAAAATTATGCTAACTTTTAAAATCTAAAACTCTTTTACACTCCTTATTGACAGAATAAAAATTATACGCATATAATGACAGTCTAGATCCTAAGCAATCTGGCCTCATCTTTTTTTTCCTTAAGTCCTATTATTGCTCTGAATGCATATTATTTTCAGCTACATGTGTTCCTCACATGTGGTTCCTTGCCATTGCTGTTTTTCCTCTTTGGTATTAATGCTTTCTACCATCTGTACTAGGTTGCATTAGAAATTCAAAGATAGATAAATCAAGATTTAGTAGCACTTTCTTGTAGCTTTCCCTTATATTTTCCATTTGTGAAAAATTCCACCCATCAAAACTTAAGTGAAATATTATCTGTGAAATTTGTCCAATCATCCCAGTACAGATTAATTTATTTTTGCCTCCAAAGTATTTTTAATCTCTGAATTATAAAATTTGCCACACCTATTCATTTTTAAAAATACATGCATGTGTCCCCTTCATTGAGTTAGAATTGATTATTGTAAGGGATTTTTTTTTTAAACTAACTTATTGAGATATGGTTGATATATAAAATGTTGTGCATAGTTATAGATACAACTTGATGAGTTTGGAGATTAGTATCCACTAATAAGAATGTTATCAAAATCAGTGCTATAAACATAAGAGATTGTATTAATTGTCATTATATCTCTCTTTTTCTTTTCCCAGTGCCCAACACAGCAACTTTAAAATAATTGATATTCACTAAATGAATACTGCATTGAAAAGTTGGTTCAGAGCTAAGGTGGAAACTGAGGAGGACTATCCAGAGAGTTAGGAAGAAAATCACGAGAGAGTTGTATTATCAAAGCTAGGGAACATATTTCAAGAAAGAGGGGGCAGGAGGCAATGTCCTAAGCTTCAGAAAAGGACAAAGGTATTCAGATTGTGAATAGATGATCAGTTTTGGCAATTAAGAGGTTGTTGGTTGTCTTAGCAATAATAAGTTCCATAAAGTAGAAAGGTATGCATCAGATCGCAACAGATTGAGAAATAAATAGAATTCTTTCCTTTAAATATAATTTTTTAGCTGATATTTTTATAGAAATTGGCTGCCAGGCAAGCTGAAGATATGTAATCTAAATAAAGATTTAGAATCCTGCATATATTATATTGATGTAGGGAGGATCTTTTGTAAAGTCGATGAGTGGGCAGTAGTCTTGCCATTACTTTAAGAAAATTTGGAAACTTAATCACTTCTTCCTGTTAGAAAACTACTACAACTCCATATACCTTCATCTATGTTAGTGATATTTTACATACGAGAAATTATTCGGAATCATTTTACTGATAATCCATGCTTCTGTCTACTTGCCTTTGTTAGGATGGTAATGTATTGATAATACATATCTGCCTATATAAAGTGAATGAATTTTTGAAAATATCCCTGATTAATGTATAAATTGATTTGGTTTTTAGCACACTGTGTTTGATCATTAGTATGACACATTTAACAGATCTGCAGTTAGAGCCTGTTATGGTAGATGATAGGGTGTCCTAGTTTTGATTAACAAATTAATCTTTATTTTTTTGGATGATGCAGTCCCTATCAGTAGCATCTTAGATTTGCTAAAATATGACAACATAGTAGGGAGCATTAAAATTTATAAACTATCTGACAGATATTTTAGCTTGAATATAATTAGTACTGTGCCAATCTTTTTTGGCAATTATTAGATGCTATTTCTCTCTCCTTTTCTGTTTATTTACTCTACCAAAGGGTCATGCATATAAAGTTATCTTAAAACAGTAATAGACTGTTAAGTGGAGGTGGGGGTGGGAAAGGGGAAGAAGGAATCTGTAAGGTAGCCTGTTTTATGTTATATGAAATTATGATTTGGTATGTGAGGAACAAATCTTGGTTAACCATAATTCTCACCAACATTAAGAGTTAGTGATCCAGCCAGGCGTGGTGGCTCAAGCCTATAATCTCAGCACTTTGACAGGCCAAGGCGAGAGGACTGCCTGCACCTGCGGGTTCGAGACCAGCCTGGGTAACATGGTGAGACCTCATCTCTACAATGAAAAAAAAAAAAATAGCCGGGCATGGTAGCACACATCTATAGTTCCAGCTACCTGGAAGGCTAAGGCAGAAGGATCGCTGGATCCCAGCAGGTTGACACTGGGGTGGCCGTGAGCATGCCACTGCACTCCAATCTGGGCAACGGAGCAAGACTCCAACTCAACAACAAAAAAGAGTCAGTGATCCATGTGAAAGAATAGTTAATTTCTGATCTTGCAGTTAAGGATACACTAATATGGTTCATTTTTTAGTATCACAGACAATACTGCATATCTGCCATGATACCTGGTACTGTACTTAGTACTGTAAACAGTATTTTATTGTTCTTGGTGGATTTCAACAATAAAGGTCAATAGTCAGTTTTGTTGTGTACCTGAAACCCGCTCCTGTTTAACTGAGAGATAAGGTTTACAATTCCTTAAATGAAAAGCGGTCCTATTGGAGAGCTGGGTGCTTGGTCACAGAAAGCACCCAGTAAATATTTGTTGACTATTTAATGTTATATATTTTAAGTGGTTATATAAGAAATGGATGGGCTTATCATTTTAAGTGATTATATGAGAAAATGTTGGCATCATAATTATTATTAAAAATAGAATATACATTGAGAACTGTAGCAGGAAAATGAAAGTTTCTCAGTCCATTTTGGATATTGCTAGAATAAATGAAAAATAGCCTTAAAGCTTCTCACTATAGGAATGCTTCGAACTTTGGAAATATTTCTACAGGCTATCATGATACATCAAAAATCAAAAAATATAACAAGTTCGCCTATCAGTTTAAGCAAATCAACAGTGCTTTTTTGAAATCAAATCAATAATTAAGTAAAAATATTACATCTATGCTTGTGTTCATTTATTTTAGTAATGTCTCAATACCTAATTCTAGAAAGAGGGAAGCAACAGTATAGTGCGGGTGAAACTGCAATCTGATAATGCATACTTTTTCCTCTGGTAACTGAAGGTTAAATGGGTAGCAAGCAGAATGCCTTAAACAAGATTGGTATATTGATTAAAACGCTGATTTAACAGCTCGCAGTTTCCCCTTGGAAACCTGGAAAAGATAAGCCAGCTGCTGTCTAAGAGTGCTCAGTGTCCACTGAGAGTACACTATCTATCATCACAATATGGTGATGAGAGGTGTTTTATGTTTGTGTTAATTTCCCCCACTAAATCAGTAATTATTACAATCCTGTCCCTGCTGTTTACCCTGCAGCTGTTTTTCCATTTGTCGAGAGAGCGGGTGTTCTCTGAGGACCGCACACGTTTCTATGGTGCAGAAATTGTCTCTGCCTTGGACTATCTACATTCTGGAAAGATTGTGTACCGTGATCTCAAGGTAAAAAAAAAAAAGTAATCAAAATTTGTTTTTATAGAGACTTTAGGGACAAACACAAAGTAATTATACAAAGTTACACAGTTTTGAGAAAAGCAGATTTAGGTGGGAAAAAACCACTCTGTTTAAGAATATAGTTCGCTGCATTTGAAAGGAAATTTCATTCACTAATATGTATGTTGTTGCTCTGTGTCAGAGTTTTTGATGTGCAAAATAATTTCTGCTTGACTACTTTGATCAAATAAAAATGTTAAACATCTGATTAAAAGTCAAATAATCTTACAAGTGACATTTTAAAACATTTTATTATTATATTCTAACAATGTTTTATGAAGGAACAAGACTATTGGAAGGAAAATATTTGTTTTGGTTTTAGTATTAACTTTTTGGTAGGTTTAAATACCTGAAGCATTTAAATACAGCCTTTTATTAATTTGTTTAGTTTTCTGTATATAAAAAAGCACTATTTGTTTTACTGATATTAGTGCCTTTATTTTTCTAAGTTCCTTTATGATGAGATCCTTAGGATAGCTCAGGATCAGCAAATTATCTGCAAAGGGCAGATAAATACTTTAGACTTTGCTGTTCCTACAGTCTCTGTTGCAAACTACTCAGCTTCACTATTGTAGGATCAAAATAGCCCCAGAAAATATGTAAATTAATGTGTTTGACTGTGTTCCAGTAAAACTTTATTTACAAAAACAAGCAGTTGACTTGATTTGGTCCACAGACCATTTTGCTGATCCCTGGAATAGTTCATACAAAGTAGTAGAAATTTTCATGACTGTATGAATTAAGTTGGTTGTTAAGGAAATTTGTACACTACACATTTGAACTGATTCTAAATGTTACAATCTTAATTCCTTAAAATTATATAGTAATCTTAACTTATTAAAGATAGCCACAGGATTGCTTTATTGATCAAGTCCTACCTACTTCACTTAAGATATAATTTGATTTGTAGAAATAGAAGTTACATGGGGCTTTTATGAAATTGTGTTTTAGTGTGAAATGAGGTGTGTGCCTGTATATTACCACATATAAAAGCAATCACAATTATCCCCTCCACTCCCTTCTTACTCCATTTCAAACTTCTGTAATTGTTAAATTATCTGATTATTTAAGCAGTTGTCTAGGTTTTTTAAAGATGTTCCTAGGAATAAATATTATCACAAAATATTATTTTAGACAATGATAGTGAAATATAGTATATATGTTTGGTATTATTAAAATTTAAAAGAAGCTGTACGATACTGTATTTAGGGAAAACTGAACTGCAACCATAAAGCATCTAGAGGTGACCAACTGTCTAAGTGCCAAAATGAACTAGAGATGAATACAAATCAACAGTATCATTGTATTTAGCCCAAATCTTTCTTATAACTAGGAATGTGACAAAATTCAGCATTTCTGTATCTGTCTTCATGGCCAAATAATCCTATGTTTAACTGTCTTGGATATGGATATTATATGGCATGACAAAATGTGTATTTTCCAACTATACTTAGAAATGGCTCTTCTCTTTCTGAGTCCACTTCTCTCACTCTCACTTCTTGTTTTAAGGATTCTATTTGAAGGGAGGCAAGAGAAGAGGGATAGAAGGGTAGAGGCCTTGATTTAAGGCAATGAGAATAATTTTAAAGTAATGGATAACATCCAGAATGCTTAAAGCCAGAAGTTTGAATCATTAGCTTAAAGAAATCTAAGAAAAATAATATTCATTTGATTGCAGTATTAATTATGGAATGATGTAGTTAGGATAGTCTTGGTCAATATTCTACTTTAATCATTTCTCATCAAATTAATCAACATATTAATATATTGAAGCTCATTAAGTGAGTTCCATTGCCCCATTCTTTTTAATGATAGAATTAGACTAAATTTGTAAAACTGCAATATAAAGTACCTATTTTATATTTAAATGCCTGTCATGTAGCTGCCCTATGTGCAGACCACTAACTTTACTAGACAAGTAGCCTCTGCTCTTTAAGTTTACTTTAAAAATATAGCTTTAACTTAAAGGTCTAAGGAAGCATATAGCATAGGACAGAAACTTTGAACATATATCAAGAAAAATCCACATAATGTAAGAACCCAAGCATTCAAAACTTACACAAGTGTCATTTGTATCCACACTACTCAGCAGCATGAATAATAGAATGAGATACTTTAGGTAGGATTGCAGAAATTTAGAGCTGGTTTATATTGTATAGGTGATGTCTTTCAAGCCTAAAAGCCTGGTTAATGACTTACTAAAAGTAAAGGACTAAATTGATAACACAGGATTTTTGGAACTCATCAATCCTAGCTTCTTGTCTAATGTTCTTGTCACTAGACCATTCTGACTTCTAGAGTTGAAATGAAATCTAGATGGGGGATGCATTGAATTAACTTTGGGAGATTTTTGTAAGCTTAATATCCAAATTAAGCTAGTATAAGTATTATACCAGATATATTAAAAAAACAGCATTATCAAGAACTGATTTAGGTACCGACTTTGAGTGAGCAGTCCCAGATTTGTCTCTGAACTTACTACTAATGACTTTAACTTTATTGAAATGCCAATCCATTTGAGATACCTATGGTAGCAGCACTTCTCAAGTAAACCCATACCTGTATACAACTGTCTCATTTAGTATCAGGCGAAGATAAAGTCTTATTTCATATACAAGTTAAGATATTTTATCAGTTACTATTTCTAATAATTTGGTGTGCATAGCACAGATAAATTATCGAAACCTTTTTTGCACTTTTGGAAAGTAAGTTGATATGGCATGGTAGGAAATTTAACTTATTAAGGACCCAAGTTTACTTAAGAAAAGCTTATGGTGCTTCATGATAGCCTAAAAATTCGAAGAAATCTCTTCATAGATTTCTTCAGTTGTGCAGATTATATGTCAAAAACTTTTTTTCTGTTTTGTTTTTAGTTTGCAAGACTAGCTTAATTTTCAGTGACCATGGGCATCCAAGTGCAGAATAGACTGAATAGGGACATTTGCAAAGGTGAATGTAATGATTCTAGAATTCATTAAGATCCGTTTTTCTAACACTTTATATCTGTTGTTGGAACATCTAATCTTGTTTTCTGTCAAATCAGAGATTGTTTACCTATTTACATATTTATATGAGAAACCATCAAATAGATATAAATCATTTCTTAGACTCAATTATGGCACAAAGGAATGGCTTCAGAGAGTCTTTTACTACAGTTCTCCCAATCTTTATCAGCTTCTTGCTGTTCACCTCAGGTAAATATAGTCTGAACGAAAAAAGCATGCTTGCTTTATATGCTGAGTCTCAAGACACATTCTCCCAACTCCTACTTCTAACTAGACTGTCACTCTAGATTTCCTCCTTTGTAAAAATATCAAGCCACTGCTATTAAGAATCCCTTCCACCTCTAAAACTACATTGTGTTGGTTTTAGACTATATTCCTTATTTGTATTAAGTTCTTAAATAGGCTAGTAACCTATCTGGGCTCTCCACTATTGTACATTATGAATCCTTTTCTAGAGTATGAGGGCTGAAAGTGAAGAAATATTTTCCTTTCAGTATTTCAGCACACTTTCTTAATTCTATGGTCATTCAATGTTTGCTGGTTAGCTTGTGACATTTTGGTGTTTTGATGCTTATAAACCTAAATCTGCAATGGTAGAGTAGGAATTCCTTACTACCTCCTTGGGCCTGAGGAACTCTTGGTGCCTAAAACTGAGTTTGGTGTATTGATGCTAAAATGCAAGTATATGAGTGACTGGAATTGTTTATTGCCAGTGCTACAATAGTCACCAGAGACCTTAGAAACTTCTGTATTAATTTCTTTGTTTAATCATAATGTTAGTCATTTAAATAAAATAATATCATATTAGAAGAACCCTCCAAAAAAAAGGAATTGTTTTTTGGAAGGGAGGCCCCTTGCAGCGTAGGCTTCCCCCGCTAAGTATGTATGTGTTCTAGGGAACCAGCTATTGTTGTTTGTAAGAGGCATCAGTGTACCAGCTAGTGTTGTTTGTAAGAGGCTGCGTTCAGCTTCAGTGCGTTTTTTTTTTTTTTTTGGAGATTCCTTCAATGTGTTTGCCCATTTCATGATGAGTAATTTATGAGTGCATCTGCCCACACCACACTGAGTGTTCAGTTTTTTACCAAAACAGCATGCATGTGACCCCTGTGCCCCACACTCTCTGTTTACCCAATCTCACCCTGAGTGACTTTTTGTTTCCCCGGATGAAAAAGTCCTCAAAGGGAAATGTTTTGCTGATGTGGAAGAGGTGAAACAACAAACCACAGAAACACTATAAAAGGCATCAAAATTGGCAAGTTCAAAAGCTGTTTTGGGCAGTGGGCAAAGCATCTTGATAGGTGTATTACATTAAATGCCGAGTACTTTGAAGGTGACTGAAGTTTATTCATGTAAGAATAAATGCATAATTTTTATAAATAAATATAGGGGTTTTTTTTGTTCCCCCCTTCATATATGCACCAGCAAGAACAAGAAGGAAAATAGAACTTTCTTGTAATGATTTTGTGTTCCCTAAGCACAAGAAAAAAATGTTTCAAAATCTATCATCTCTTCATATACACACTGAATCAAGTCCATCTGTCAAATAATACCTCTTTACTTGAACAGGGCAAACATGACCTTTTTTTGAAGAAATTTTGAGAGATTATCTCTGATTTTTTTTTCTCTCCTCAAAAGCATGGACAACTCTCTGATACAAATAGTGAACATTACTCAAATTTCTAGTACAGTATATAATCTTTTTTCTTATAACCTCCTGTTTGACTTGACTGCTCTTGCCGGTGGATGCATCCATTAAGCATAAGCATGCTGTCCCACTTTGAATCGTGGGAAGTAAAATTGACATGAAGATAAAAGATGCATGTAAAATTTTATAAATTTAGAGTACCTAAACAGTCAACAATAATATGCTTTTCTCATTTTGTGACTAACGAAGGGAAGAAGGAAAGTGATTTAGAAGGAAGACCCAAAGATATTTGCAAATATTTTTTTTTCCTTTATGCAGTAGAAAGATTTCTAAAAACTTATGACTAAATACTACTTATATTATGTGTTGCTAAATGAAGCAAGGGAGTGATTTCCAGATATTTTTGATGTATGTAGGCTATTAGGCTATTGATCTGCTTTGAAAAGACTTGTAGGTGATTCTGTGCTTCTTGCAAGTTTGTGAATCACCCTATTAATGTTCTTGTATTTTATGGAAACTTTATTAATGCATTCTGTATAAAATGACCATTTATGGTATAAAAAGACTTAACAGTTATTTACCTCCTGGTTTATCTTTATGTAAGATTAGATTGGGGATACCTTCTTTAAGGTAACATATTTCTATTTGTTCATTCTTTTGATGGCAAGCTGTTTCATCATTCATGTTCAACAAAATGACATTTTAAGTTAGTGAGAGGAAAAATATTTATAGAAGGTAGACACAATTGTAAAATAACCAACTTGAAAATTTTGAAATATTTGTTGTTTTATTCAAAAGAAATACTGAAAAGTATTTTCAATGAAGTCACTGAGCTGACAAATATTTTATAGGGTTCCATTTCTGAACTTTGTTCTTTCCTTCAAATTACAATGCTGTCTAGAAGACCCCACATCATCTTGATAATTTACAAAGTGGCCATTAAATTCTCCATGTTTAGAAAAGTGATTATTTTGTTTATTGAATGCTTATAGTATGATGAGTTCTACATTCCGCATCTTGTTTTATTCTCAAAACTGTCACATTGGATTGTTATTTATCTTTTTTTTATAGATGAAGTTGAAGTACATAGAAATTAACAATGTGTCTAAGTTCACACTGTGAGTAAGAGGTAAAGCTCAAATTTAAACATAAGCCCTCTGACTTGAACGCTTTAGTGGAACCCTTCAGCCTTACTCGTTTTGCTCTCTACTGCCTCCCATGCAGTATACTACCCTGCCCCATGGCCATGATCCTTACCCCATCTCTCACAGTCATCTTAGGTTTACCCTATTTTCTACTATGTTATTTTAATGTTTTAAAAACTGATTTATAAAACAAATAGGGCAACCAACTGTCTTGGTTTGCCCAGGACTGCCCAGTTAGAGCGCTTATAAATCCTGCATCCCAGGAAACCCTTCAGTTCTGGGCACACTGGAATGGTTGCCACCTCAATCTATTTCTTACCCAACCTATTCCTGTATCTTATTCATTCTTCATGCTGTAATCCATGGTGTGAGACTCAAAGATGAGATGTGAGGGTAAACAATTAGGTACGCAGTCAACATTTTTTACATACACGTATGTTTGTACATACACACACTGTTTGGTATTGAAAAACCGTATTTATACGTTTTTATTATTCTGTTTCTTAGCCACTTCAAAATAGCTTTGTCAAAATGTGAAGAAATAGTACATGCTGTCATGTTACCATAGATACTTGCCCACACATATAAAGCCTATGAAGAGGACTGGCATATTACACACCAAACTAGTGGGAATGGAAGGGGGTAAAAAATACATTCACATTTTGTTCAATATTATTATGTACTCTTGAAGTTTTTATAAGAAATTTTAATGAATTATATTAGTAAAAGAGTTTAATCATTAAAGATCTTACAGTATTTTTATAAATTATAATAATTTATATATTAAAACAATAAGCATATTTTAAAAATTTAAGAACAAGGTATGTACATTTGTATTCAACCATCAATAGAAGCTTCAGTATATACTTCTCTTCCTCATTATGACAACTTGGGGAGGAAGAAAGAAGAGGTGTTGTTTAAAAGAGATGGAAAAAGGAGAGAAACCAGAGGCACAAGGAAGAGACAGACAGACCAAGGCAGAGAGAAAGAGATTTAGGAGGAAAGGCATGGAGAGAGATACTTTTGATGTTTCTGATGGTTTTTATATTCAGGACCTACTGTCATTTGTGCAAATTAGGTTTGATTTCTAGGTTCTGGCTGGTAGAGTTGCATTAGAAAGATACAGAATATCTGAATTTGGATAAAATTGAAACATTTATTTTAAAAAGTTTCAATATCTGTAATCCCGTGCCTTGGGAGGCTGAGGTGAGTGGATTGCCTGAGCCCACCGGTTCAAGATCCACCTGGGCAACTTGGTGAGACCTCATCTCTCCAATAAATAAAAAAATGAACCGGGTGTGGTAGAGCGCACCTGTAGTTGCAGCTACTTGGAAGGCTGAGGTGGAAGGATCGCCAGAGCCCAGCAGGTCGAGGCTGCGGTGGCTGGGAGCGGCCACTGCACTCCAGTCTGGGCGACAGAGTGAGACTCCAACTCAAAAAAACAAAACAAGATAAAATAAATAAATTAATTAATTAAAAGGTTAAATATATATATATAGGGTTCATTCAGCTTTCTGTAGACAAATTGAAGACAGACTTAACTTCTGTGAAGTATACTATATATGAAACACATGTCAAACATTCAGTTGGGTAGCACCTTGAAGTACTATATGAAAAGACTTTTGTCTATTCTGATGTTTGTTTCACTGAACACAGCCTGCTTAATTGTATTTAGTGTCTGGTTTTATAAGACATTTGATAATATGACAGAGTTTATGGTTACATTTTATATGACTGATATCTGTGTATGTTCTTATGTGAAATTCTGTTTTAAATTTGCTATTAACTTCAGAATCCAGGTAAGCACTTTGAAATGTCATCACATTAAGGACTAGGATAACTATCTACTCCTTAAATAAAAGTTATTCACATCTTGTATGATATTTTTCACATTTTGTGTATTTCTTCCATGTGACAAGAGAAGTACTTTCAGGTTGTGTCTACTGGGCAAAGTTATCGGCCCCTACTGCATAAAACTGTATGATAACAACTCAGAGCTCATATGTATCATTGTGTGATACAAATCATAATCTTATGTTGAAATTGTGGGTGGGGGGAAACTAGTTGGTTATATTGTTGTTATTTTTAGCTGTATTGATTTTACAAATTCCTTCCCCCTCTTACATTTCATAATTTTCACTTGAGGCAGATCATCTTGTTACTTGGTTAAATCTTTAAGATTCTCTTTGGTGTTTTTTAATTAATGGATTCAAAGAGATTCCAGCTTTATAATGTTTGTGCTATATATTTTTATTAACTGTTGATTGTTTGACTTTGATATTCTTTTTCTTTTTATGTTTAAAAGGGTTGGTATTTCTTTATTACAAAGAACTGCAAAAGAGGATATCGCCTTACCTTACAAAATAAGATTTAGGTTTGATTTACAACTACCACCAAAAAACATTTCTGTAAGTGAATATTTTATAATAGCAATAGATTCCCAAGAGAAATTGTTGGAAACCATCTGTATATATCTAGAAGAAGATGCTCATCTCTTTGGGATTATTCAGATCACATTTTATTTTAAAAAAAGATGATATTTGCTTTGAAAAGTTGATTAGGCTTTAATTATCAGAACTTACACAATAATTGCTCTTAAAGCTATAACACTGTTTCCCATTGGTTTAAAAATCAGTTTTACCATCATGAAGTGTTTGATAAAACATGTGTCTTTTTACACATGAAGCTATAGGGTTTGTTAGTACTGAAAGTTCTGTTAACTACAATATATCCTCGTTCCAAACCACCTTACGCAGTGTTCAGTAACTTTTGAAAAACAGCATTTTCTTGTTGTTGAAGATGACAGAACAGATGATGTTTTTTTCTTAATACATAGCTGGAGAATTTGATGCTGGATAAAGATGGCCACATAAAAATTACAGACTTTGGACTTTGCAAAGAAGGGATCACAGATGCAGCCACCATGAAGACTTTCTGTGGTACACCAGAATACCTGGCTCCTGAGGTAAGCTTCAGTTTCATTCATATGAAAAGTAATATTGGCATAATGCTCTGCAAAGTAAGCCATGTAAGCATTAAATATTGATTGTAGTGCCTGTTACTTTTACCCATATTTCTACCTGAATAAAATTTATTTTGCTCTCACTTGTTTTAATTTGGTATCACAGGGTCAAGAATATATAGAATTCAAATTGTATAAACTTTATAAACACAAAGTTACTAACTAAAGTAGCTACATCAATTTTTGTTCTTTGGTCCTGTACATTGTATTTCTTACTTATATCCATTTTAACATTTATTAAGCTACAATAACTGACTTCAGCCAGGCACAGTGGCTCTCACCTATAATCCTAGCACTTGGGAGGCAGAGACGAGAGAATTGCCTGAGCTCAGGGGTTCAAGACCAGCCTGAGCAACTTGGCGAGACCTCACCTCTACAATAAATGCCAAAAATAGCCAGGCATGTTAGCATGTGCCTATAGTCCCAGCTACTTGGAAGGCTGAGGTGGAAGGATGACCTGAGCCAGCCTGGCAGGTCAAGACTGCAGTAGCCAAGACCATGCCACTGCACTCTAGCCCGGGCAACAGACTCAACAGACTCCGACTCAAAAAAAAAAAAAAAGAAGAAGAATTGACTTCAGTGAGAATATTTACATTTTATAAACCATCTTGTACTTTGCTTAGAAACACAGAAACAATGATGACTTGATTTACAGTATGATGGGTTTTTGTACTTAATTATTTAAAATTATGTTATTGGGAAAGTTATTGAAGTGACAGTAACTACATTTTGGACTTTATGTCAAAGAAAGCTCCAAGCTGGTGATCTGCCTGTGCTAAGGGTGCTACAATTATTTATTTGCTTATTTAACAAATATTTATTATGTACCTGCTATGTATTGGGTGCTTTTCTGGGTAAGATGGTTGACAGAAAAGGACCCTACCCTCAGGGAACTTTGTTCTAGTGGAGGGAGACAGAATAAAAATAAAAACTAATATAGTATCTTAAATTCCATGAAGGAAAAAAAAATGGCAATACAAAGGGAAGGATGTGGTGTGGCTGTTGTAGAAAGTGTTAGTACTACGGCTGTGTAACAAACTGCCCCAATACTAAGTGGTGAAAAACAACCATTTTATATGATGGTGGATTTTCTGAATCAGAAATGCAGATGGTGGCAGCAGGGATGGCTAATTTATGGTCTACTGTGTGTGGGCCCTCAGCCGGAAAGACTACAATGAAGGCGTGATTCTGTGGCTTGAGGCTGGGGTCATCTGGAAGCATCTTCACTCATATGTCTGACAGCTCTGCTGGCTGTCCACTGGTACCTTATTAGGACTGTTGGCAGGAGCACTCTCCATGTGACCTGAGCTTCCTCATAATGATATCTCTAGAGTAGTCAGACTTCTTTGGCTCTAGGTCTAAAGCGAATGTCCTAGGGAACACGTTAGAAGCTACTTTGCTCTTTTTTTTCACATAGTAAAACCATCAAGACTTTTTAGTACATTCACAGAGTTGTACAGCTATCTCTGCTAATTCCAGAATATTTTTATTACCCAACAAGAAACCTCATACCCATTAGCTCTCCATTCTCTCTTCCCAGTAGGCAATCACTAATCACTTTTTGTCTGAATACATTTACTTATTGTGGACATTTCATACAAATGAAATTATGCCATATGGAGTCTTCTGTGATAGGCTTCTTTCACTTAGCATCATGTTTTCACTATTCATCCGTGTATTAACATGTTATTACCACTTCGTGTTTTTTATGGCTGGATAATATTCCATTGAATAGATAGACCACATTTTGTTTATTCATTCAGCAGCTGATGGACATTTGGAGTTTGTTTTTTTTTTGTGTGTGTGGCTATTATGAATACTGTTGTGAACATTTGTGTTATGCGTTTTATGGCTTAGTTTCAGAAGTTCAAAGCCAGTATATTAAATGTCTTGTATGCCAGATTCATAGCAAGCTTTTTTTTCTTTTAATTTTTTTATTTTAAAGATGCAGGGTACAGTTCAAGGTTAGGTATACAAACGTTCATCATGCAGGTACCCTTGTTGATGAGGTGTGCCACCCTCCCATAAGCAGGCTTTGAAGTAAACAGGTTTTAAATGAACTTAATTTGCTTCTTGTGCTTAGTCCTTGAAGCAGTTGTAAACCTGCACAGACTTAAGGGTTAGCCTCATAAACCCCACCTCTCCATTATAGAAGAGCTTGTGAGATGGGAGATATTGCTGCAACCACCTTTGGAAAATAACATCTTCCACAGGATGTTCAGGGAAAGTGATGTTTGCCAGAGATTTGAATGATAAGAAAGGACAACTGTTGCAAAGATAGGGGAGGAGTTTTTCCAAACCAAGAGAGCAGCTAGTGTGAAAACCCTGAGGCAAGACCAAGCTGAGTTTTCCCCTCTAGCTCTATTATGGTTAATGTAGCTATAGTAAAAAATGGAGGTGTTAATCTTTGATGGGCAAGGATTACTATTTAAGGAGCATCTATTATGTGCCACATGTTATATAAGTGCATTGCATCTATTATTTCATTTAATATTTGGAATAAATTTTGGTTATAGATAGCAAACTTGGCTTTTTTTTAAAGTGAAGAAACATAAGATCATAATTTTTTCTTATGTAACCTGTATAAAAAGGTGGTGGAGGTATAATCAGGGCTTTAACTAGGTTGTCTGACTATAGAGGTCACTTTACTTTTTTAACTACATACGTCATGATCCAAAAATGTTACAATTTCAAGACTACTTGTAGAAGCAAGTAATTGTAATTTTTTAATGGATGCTTTATAAATTCTCAATAGGAAAAGATAATTAAACGAAATTAGTAAGAATAAATTCGCGATGATAACTAGCATTTCTTATATGTATAATAACTCATGCTGGCTTATTATTATAATAGTTCTTTTCAATTAAGGATTAAATTTACGTTTCAAAAATGTTAATTTATTATAAATACGTTCTGATATTTAAAATACAGTAAATTTTCAACTATTATTTTCTTGCCAAAAATACCATTTTCTCTTACAAAATCTGGAGTTTAAAATTCTCTATTTTGTGGTTGAATTTGGTAAAATTTTAGAAACACTGTTTTTTGTTTATTTGAATAAAAGATCATATTTTCTAGAATAGGATTGTTTTGTGAATGCCATGAAAAACAAATTCTTTATTTCTCTGGAGTTCAATTACGCCTCCTACACATTTGCTGTGGAAGATGATATTCATATTTAGAATAACAAGATTGGTTTGTCACAATTAGGGGAAATTATTTCTGAAGAAGATAAATACATCTCATTTTAGAAGCAGCTGATCTAAGAAACAAAGATATTGTTTTCTATGCAAATATCATCAACTGAAGAGCAAAACCAAGAATTTAATGCAAGAAGAATCCAATTGTTTCTAAATAGAAAGTTTACAGTTCACAAGAAATTATCAATTTCTTTTTAAAGTCAAGAAAATATTTCTGTATACTTTTTTTAATATTACGAAAGTCTGGTCTTTAAGAGCAACTTACAACACCTGTCTTTGGTTGATACATGTTGATTCATAATTAAAAGCTTGATACCTTATTATAAAGGGCAGTGACTTTTGTAGTCGCTGTTTGAGTATGAGAAATCTTGAAGCAACCAACTTCTCATGCAGTTTTAATTCGTATACTTTAAATATTTGTGTCATATACTGCATTTTTGTAATTTTGAATGTGTAACCCTTACTTTAAAAAAAAAAAGGAGAATTTCGTGTCTTTATTCTGTTCTTCCGTGTGGACCATTTCACTGAATCACACTTATTCATTAATGAAAAATATATTGACTATTTATTAGATATCAGACATTATGTTAGGTGCTGGGAATACAATGATAGTAAGAAATAGTTTTTTCAAGTGGCTTGCTGTTTACTAAGGTAATAAGTTATGGAAAATAATTATTACTGTGCAAGAAAATGACTGCTTTACTGGAGTTGCATACAGTGGAATGGAAGGAAAAGAAAAAGTGCTTAAGCCTGCAGTGAAGGTTCAGAGCAGTAAAGGGGAAGCAGGAATAGAGGATGCTGGGCACACAAGTAGGGATTGGAATGTAAAGGGGTTTGTGTTTGAGCCTGTGGTTAAGGGAAAGCCACTTGTGAATTGCTGGCAAGACAATAATGTAATAGGTCTTATTCACATGGTCAATGTTAGGGAAGGACTGGCGCAAGCTGAAGCCAATCTCTTTCTTTCAGATTTTGTCTCTCATTTTTTTTGAATCTTGAAATTTCTAGTACATTACCATTATTAATGCTAGTCTTTCCTTGATAGTAATTATAAGGAACAGTGTATCAAAGTAGTGTATCATTCTTCATTACTACTTTTCTTGTGAATGACTCACTGTCAAGTTTTCCCTTCTGTTCTTTGAGAAGACTTGTTTACACATTATGTAGAGATCTTGCTGCAACCTATACGTGATCTAACAGTTGTATTTCTTTACCTTTTAAGTTGTTTTAACTTGCTAGAAATGGTTTGCTATTTAAAGATAGATGAAGGGTATTTCAAAGATACTTCCAAAAAAAATGTTAGAAATCAGTTCAAAACCAGTGTATTAAATGTCTTGTATGTCAGATTCATAGCAGGATTTTTTTTTCTTTTAATTTTTTTATTTTAAAGATGCGGGGTATGGTTCAAGGTTAGGTATACAAACGTTCATCATGCAGGTACCCTTGTTGATGAGGTGTCGTACCCCTCCCCATAGCAGGCTTTGAAGTAAACTTAGGTTTTAAATGAACTTAATTTGCTTCTTGTGGCAAAGACTACCAGAAGAAATAAGTCTATAGTATAAATATGCTATTTGCTGAAAAAAGAATATTTTAAAAAGTATTTCTTCTCTCTTTTGATGAAGAATGGGGCTTAGAATATAATTTTCTACCTTGGGAGGCATTTAACAATCTTTATTTTTAAAGAAAAAAAATGATGTTTTGTTTTAAAAGGTTACAGAGATACAGTTCTAGCAGGCATATACACTA